ATGGAAGGAACCATATTATGTATCTTCTTCTGTGAATATGCTCCATATTATGTTTTTGAGATACGTCCAAGATGCTGTTTGTAGCTAGTAGCTACTTCATTTACATAGTTGCTATAGTCAGCTTTTCACTGCTGTGACCAAAAGACCTAACAAGAATAATGTAGAGGAGGAAAAGTTTATTAGAGGCTCACAGTTTCAAAATTTTTAATTCATAGATGTTGCTTTGAGCATAAAGTAAGGCAGAGCACCATCATCAGTGAAAATATAAACCCCAAAGGCACACCCCCAGTGGCCTACCTCCTCCATTTCACACCCTACCTGCCTACAGTTACCACCCATTTAATCATTCAAGTGGATTAACACACTGATTAGGTTAAGGCTCTACTAAACTGATTATTTCACCTCTGAACTTTCTTGCATTGTCTCACACATGAGCTTTTGAGGGACAACTCATATCTAAACCATAACAGTAGTATTCTACTATATGTCATCTAGTCTACGTTTAAAAACCATTCCTCTTTCTTTTTAAATTGAAGAAAAATCATCTCTTCTAAAGAAAGCATTAAAACTAGTACTGAAACAGAGACAAGAAATGAAAAAATAAGAAACTAGTTAAGGATGCACTGGTCTTAGTAGAACTTTCAAAATTTCAGTATGTCTCTTTGAAACTCCTTGTTCTTACAGGAATATAGAGTTTGGCTTTTCATATTGTGTTCAATTTGACTTGCTATGACATTGATCTGTACGTTTTTGTGTATTTTGTTGTTGTTTTCAAATCAGTAGTTTCTGCATGTGATTGAAGGGTTCTAACTTCTTTGGAGACTGCCCTCGTTCCTTGTCCCTCGCCCTGCCGGCTAAGAACACTTAGTGCACTTGGGTACTAATAGGTCTCAGATGACATTGGAGGGCATTTGGGCAGGGACCTTCCTGGGAGAATTTCATTGCACATATCAGGCTGCTGATAGTGCAAACTTTTATAATCCAGTTCTAAACATACAGTAAGTCTGACTGATAATTTTATATTATTCATCTTCATTGTTGGGTTTTTGTTCTTGAGTCTATTGAAGGGTTAATTTCATAAATGAAAACAATCCAGATGATTTCATCCAAATGCACCACAATCATAAATAAAATCAAACCATGTCCCTCTCATGTCTTGAGACTGGCTAGGGAACATTTCTCAACTCCTCTTGATAGATCCATTCATCCATTAGCCCAAGAAAGCTTGAAGTCCCTGTTACAGCACCACAGAACACTGGTGCACAGCCCCAAGAGAAACCTGCCATGTTCAGGTCTCATGATATCGTACAGCTCCCAAGAACATTGATCAGCCTTCCTATAGAAGGACACAAGAAAATATTTCTATGAGTGGGGGAACATTTTGCTTCATTGACATTTCTCTGAGTTCCTTTTCCTTTTTGTCATATACTTCACAGGCAGGTTTCAATTCTGAATAATTACCATATGTTTGCCTCCCCTTGAGAACAACCTGAGTTGCAAAAATCCATTTTAAAGCTTCTCTGCTTAAAGCAATCAGTTCCATAAATTATACATCTGTTACTAGATATGCATTTTCCAATAGGTAGTCTAAAGCCATCCCCCATGAATATTCATCTTCACATTAAAGGTGGGAGAAGCCTAGAAACATTCCCCCCTCCCTTTTTTTTCTTTTCTGCCAAGAGGCAGATAATCTTTTATGAAAAGCCTGTTTATTACTGGTGGGGAGCTTTATTTCTATCTTCAGAAGCATCATTTTAGATTTGGGTAATCGGTTCAGCAAACAGCTTCTTTTAAGCGATAAATATCAAATTAAATCTACAATTAAAGTTTACTAAAAATATTGGTTGATATAATTTTGTTGGTGGTAAAAGTATAGAAGTAGAAATGATTGGTGATGATTACTAATTATTCAGCTTTGTTCAGAACACACGTGTCCATAGAGCCATGGCTCTTTAGCTAAGAAGCCATTGTCCTGGGAAAGACCTTATGCAGAGCATCTCAGTGCAGCTGTGCCTAGTCAATACTTCAACACCCCATCAACTCTTGACACTCAGCTTCCCAAGAACAATCAGAGAAATAATAGAGTGAGTGCCAAAATGGCCATCCCATCTCTTTCGCTTTGTTGTTTTCTCCATTGTTAGATTTGACTTATTTTTTTTAAATGCCATCAGGACCAGGGTGTGATAGTACACAGCTGTAATCCCAGGGATTCGGGAGGCTGAGGCAGGAGGATGGCAAGTCTGAGGACAGCCTGAGCAACTTAGTGAGAGTCTGTCTTTAAACAAAACGAAACAACAACAAAAAAGTCTCACTCCTGTAGAAAATTTTGTCCATATTGAACCTGAAAGTATTGAATTATGAAGATGCACATAACTTTCCCTCACAAAGGTGGCGTGGGTGATGAAAGAGATAAAAAAAATTAACAAACAAACACCTTGTCTAGAAGTCCTGTGCTTCTACTGGAATCTGGTTCCACCACAGAAGCTCAGAGTGACCTTGGCTATGTTATATAACTTATTTACTCATTTCCTCAAATGGGAAATGTTGATAAAGTATCCATCAACCCTATCCACATCATGGGGTTATCTGAGGATCTGATGAGATCATTTCTGTGTGAACGTTGTGAAGCACCCAAGTACCATGTAACATATGACCACAAGGAATCTGCATGCCGTTCTTTGGCCTGGCAGTTGAAAAGCCAAACACAAGGAAAATGGAAGAGGTGGGTCCCATCATATTAAAGGAAATAAGCTGCTGGTCCTATTACTCACAGCCTGATTTTTAAGGCCACCTATGGTATTTTTTGAATCCTTAATATTAAATAACAGAACTAGGAATTTTCTCTTAGTATCATGAGCCTGAGTCTAGATGTTTCTTCCTTTTACTTTTCTCCTTTTCTTTTTTTTCTGCCTGCCTTCCTCCTCCTTCTTTCCTCCCTTGCTTGCTTTCTCTTTCTTCTTTCTGTTTGTTTCTTTTCTTTTTGGGGACAAAGTGGTCCCGATAGGCACTGGGAAAGGAAGCAAGGAGCTCATGACTAAAATGTGTTTTAAAGGGACCTTGGCCATTTGGTTCCCTATTACAGGAGCTGGGGACAAGAAAAAGAGCTGGCAATGGGGCTTCTGCATTTGTGTCTCTCTGTCTGCTTCTGAGGGACACGGAGCAAACTGCAGAGCTGGAGACACAGCAGAGAGCACCTGCCCGATGACTCCTGGTAACCATTCAGCCCAGTGTGCTTTCAGAACCAGCTATAGCAGTGACAGGCAGATGTGGTCAGAACAAGGGCAGCCACAGAGCCAAAGCTGCCAACACATGCTCTTCCACTTTTGATGGCAGTTCAAAATTTTGGATTCTAGAAAGGAAATAGAAATTTTGAAAAAGAGAGAACAAAGGTCTTTCTTTCCCTTTAACTGCTCAGCCTGTGGGACTGAATTTTGGAGGGAAAAAAAAAAAAAAAAGAAGAACTATTGTTTGTGCCCTCTCAGGGCTTAGCAAGTATTTTATCATGTTTTCATGAAATATACTGTTAGCTCAAAAGCTTTGTTTGCGTGAGGGTGTGTCTTACTCATGGGTAGAAAATTTCCATAAATTTTTCCATTCTGTTTTTTTCCTCCCTCCTTTGTTCACTCATTCAGGATCTTTGTCCCTTGTGATCCCACATGCACTAATCCTAAGGATTAACTATTTGAGATTTAAAATTTCAAAGATCAAAATGATGGGGAAAAATCAGAACTTGTTTGGTGTAGGACCAATTACTTGCCAGACATGACGAGTCAGGGTGACTCTCACTTCCTTAGTCCGTCAACCCATGTTTGTTAAGCAATTATTCAGTCAATACTATATCAAAGGCACTATATATATTTTTGTTAATTCTTCAATTCAGCAAATTAACTGATAGGAGTGATTTTGTCACTAAAGTGGCAAAATCGTTTCCGCACTTGCCTCCTTCCCATTTGTTCTCTCTTCTAACTCCTATGTCTGAGGCAGGTGTTGACAGTTGTTGTTCTGTGACGGGAATTTTTAGAAACACCAGCACTGTTGGGTGGACATATATCTTCATCAGGAAATCACAAAATTGGTTTGAGAGACGGTTGCTTTGAGAACCACCCTCTCCTTCGTCTCATCTGTATTTAGTGTTCCTGCTCTCTACTGTGAATTCTGTCTTTCTAGTCATGGCAAAGCTTGTCTTGTGAGCCACGATCTTACTTGTTTTCTAAGAGAAACTCTACAAAGATTCACGGATTGAGAACAGGTTGATATCAGCCCTCTCTGAGATGACAGACTAGGAACAAAACAAAAAAAAAAAAGGACTAGGATTAGCACATGGACAGGTCCCCAATTTGAGATGCTTCACCTTTCCAGGACAGTCAATTCTGAAACTGTAATGGTCAGTTCCTATAATGAATAGCATTACTGGCAGCCTAGAGGGTAAATTTTGAGACTCTCTTTTCATTACGATGCAGGAGTATATCACACTGCCTTTTGCCAGCAGCACATGTTTAAACTTAAAAGCAAAAGCAAATTCTTTGAAGACTGAACATTAAACAAAAAAAGGGAAAAAAGAAAGAAACCTTGAACCTAAACACATTTTCGTCTCTCTGGAAAAGCAATTGATAAATAATACACTCAAACTGTGAATACATTTTCACACTGTTAAGCATTTATTTATTAAAAAAAAATAATATGTTGCCTGAAACAACTCTGTTTTGTTAACCTCCCCAGGGCCAGAACACATACATATATTCTATGGAATTGGTGCCTTGTAGGTAAGAGAAAAGAAATGTGTCAGATGGAATTTTCAGGAAGGAAGATCATGCCAGGAGATGCCAGCTGCTTCTCTTATTTTTAAAACAGAATTCTCATCTCCATAATAATCTGCCATCAACTGTGTTTGTGGTGTGTATGTGTCAGCTTGGCTAGGCTGAACTACATTTCCCAGAATTCCTGTTCCTGTATGCTTCTGGGTAAAGTGAGCTACAGAGAGGTTCTTGTTTGAGCTAGGAGGGTGGAAGGGAAGCAGTAGCCACGTTGTAGCTCCCTCATGCCATGGCCCCCCTCCTGGCTCACTTCTCTGTTGTGAGGCAGTGACCAAGCTTACAGCAGCTGCATCTCACTTTGGATCCTCCTTTGGCTTCCTGATTCCTTCTCTGGTAAGTAGAAAACAGCAACTGCTCTGGACACAGATGTAAGACATCTAAATGGCAGAGGGTAGAAAATAAATCCCACAAATATCTAGGGGTCTAGTCTGAGGCAGGCTGGGTTCCATTTTTTACCACTTCTAAATCAAAAAGCTATCAACTATGAGTGGGGCCCAAGATTTCTAAATCTAGATTGTTATTAAAGCAGCTCTGCCACTTGGACCATATGATCCAGAAGATCCAATAGTGTGTAGAATGTCAGTGATAGATACGAATGAAGTTTAGAGCATTCTTCAACAGACGGATGCTTGGACATGGGTCACTCAGTTACTCTGTGACTTGAGCTACCCTTTATTAGTGTTGTCTGACCTACCAGGCCACAAAGCTGAGCATCCATGGCAGTGCTCCATTAACAAATGGAAGTGGGATATATGATCTGGGCTTAGGGAGGTCTGAAGGAACTAATGTATTGCACAAGCACGTTGCCTATGTATCCACCACCTTACTTCTGTTATATTGCTTCTTTCTCTCAAACTACGCCTATGACCTCTTGGAGAACTTCTTAGGAGCAATCAGTAGAGAAAAAATGAAATTTCAGACCAAGCTTCCAGATGATTCTGCACATTAGGAAGACACCTCTCAAAAGTGGACAGCTAAAACCAAATGGACAATTGAAACACAACAATCCCACTCTGGGATGGCCCTGTAGGTCAGCAGTGAAGGGAAATCTTTCCAGTGTACAGAACGACAAGCAGTACATCTGTTGTTCCTTTTACTTGAAAGAAGAGATGTCCAGAAGGGCAAATCTTCAATAATTCATGGGTCAGAGATTTGGAAAGAACATGATTAAAAACTTGGTGATGAAGAAATCTGCTGGAGAGGTAGCTGATAGGCTTCTCCAAGTGGGCAAGGTGTGTTAGGATATTCGTGTTCCATGTGCATGCTCACAAAGAATGAACTCAACAAAGGAGGATTTTCACTAGCAAGCAGATAGGAAGAGCCATTCTGTGCTCCTCAGTCCTCTTCCTTCCCCAGCAAATCCTGTCATTATCAAACCAGATCATTAAAAATGTAGCAATGACAGAGAGCATTGTGGAAGAGAGAACTTCAGCTTTGGTTCAGCAACATGGGCTTCTACCTACCAAGGCCTGTCTAGCTATAGTCACTGTTGTGTGCCCGATTTGCTAACAGCAGAGGTCCTGACTTGGCACCCTTTTCAACTATTAGCTAGCCACTAATTGGCAGGTTGATTACACTGGATCACTTCCCTCATGGAAAGGGCAAAGTTTGGTTCTTAACTAGACTAGACACTTACTATGGATATACATATAACTTCCTTGCTGACAAAGCTTCTGCAAAACCCACCACCAAAACCATGTGCAGAATGACTTATTCACTATCAGAGTATTTCACACAGCATCACTCTGACCAAAGAACTTATTTCACAGCAAATAAGATGTGGAAATGGCCTTGCATAGTCTACTGATCTTACTGTGCCCCTCATCACCCAGAAGCAGCTGGCTTGACAGAATAGTAAAACATTCTTTTGAAGGCTCACTTATAGTCTTTGACGATTAAAAAAGTGCTCTAAATCAGCATCTAACATATAAATCTCTATTTCTCCCTTACCGGTATCCATGGGTCAGGGACTCAAGGGATGGAAATGGGAGAGAATCCTCTATTTTCCCTAGTGATTCTCTAACAAAATTTCTGCTTTCCATCCATGTGACATCAGACTTTCAAGGTCAAGAGGTACTAGTTCCAAAAAGAGGAATGCTTCCATTGGTGTACAGATAATTATCTGATTGAACTGGAGTGCCACCTGACACTTTGACTCATGTCATTGAATTGTCAGGCAAGAAAGGGAGTGATTGTAACTAGGCTGCTTCAACACAAAGGGAGTAAGGAGGAGTACGTCCTGAAAATTAAAGATCTTCTAGGTGGCCACTTAGCACTCCCACATCCTGGGATTAAAGTCAGTAGAAAACCACATTAACTCAGTTAAAAGATTGCCCGTGACCCAGTGCCTTTGAGAATGAAGATTTGGTTCATTGTACCAGGCAAGGATCCATAATCAGCTGAACAAAAGGAAGAAATGACCACTAGGGCCACATGACCAGTTGTAGACAAAAATACTGTTTGAGTTATGAATATCTATTCCTCATTTTGCTATGGCTCTGTATAAATATGAATATAAGTATATATATGTATATATATATATACACACAAATATACATATTTGCTTAACCAATTATCTTTGTATTTGTCTTTCTCCTCATTCTCTTATCATCTAATGTAAGATATGTTGACAGTAGTAACTTGACATGTCAATGTACAATTTATAAGACATCAAAGGAGAAGTGTGAATTAACTACATGAATGAACATCATCCAAATTAAAAAAAAAATTGGATCCTCTATTATAGAAAAGTTCAAGTGGGTATAGTTGTATCACAGTAGGTAGAGGCATGATTCTGGGTTTTTTAAAAATATTTTTTAGTTTTCCTCATTTCCCTCTCAGAGGATTTGTCACTGATATACAGAAATGCCTTTGATTTATGGGTGTTGATTTTATATCCTGATACTTTGCTGAATTCATTTACTAGTTCTAGAAGTTTTCTGGTGGAAATTTTAGGATCTTCTAGATATAGAATCTTATCATATCAGCAAATAGTGCTAATTTGAGTTCTTCTTTTCCTCTATGTATTCCTTTAATTTCTTTTCGTCTGACTAATTGCTCTGGCCAGTGTTTCAAGAACTATGTTAAATAGAAGTGTTGAAAGAGGGCATCCCTGTCTTGTTCCAGTTTTTAGAGGGAATGCCTTCAATTTTTCTTCATTTAGAATGATGTTGGCCTGGGGTTTAGCATAGATAGTCTTTATGATGTTAACATGACTTTATTTTTAGTTATTTACATGTGGTGCTGAGAATCAAACCCAGTGCTTCATGTAGGCTAGGCAAGCACTCTACCACTGAGCTACAAAACCAGCCCACGACTCTGTTTTCACCTTTCTTTGGAAATCAAGTATGACTTAAAGAGACGTCAGAGTGCCATGTTGTCAAGGGGTGGTGGATTTCTAATGAGCGAACTTGACCAGGCTGAACTCTGGTCCCCAGAATTCCCTTTGCCGTATGTTTCTAGATAGAGTGGGTCACCAGTGAGATTCTTGGACAAGACTCAGAGGCAGAAGTGAGGTGGCAGCCATTAGATATCTCATGCATGTTGTGTCCTCTCAGCTCACTTACCTCCTGCCACCAGACCTGCCGTTGTTCCACCTTCTCCTGGATAGATACTCTTTAAGCTTTTCTAACTCCTGGGCCAGGTGTGTGTGCTAGGCTCTGATAAGGGCCCTGCAATCAAAGTCAGAGGCTTTAAGAATTGAGATAATATTTGGCCTGTGTTCATGAGCTCTAGCTGTGTCCAGGATTCTGGTATGTTCTGGCTCTCACCCACCTTTCCTCACATCCTATCCTTAAATTTCAAGCCCCAGCATCAATGTGAAGACAACAGCTTTACAGATGATTTCATCACACACTACAATTATGTAAGGTCAAATCCCTGCAAAAACACACACACAGTTACATTTCTGCTTCTCTTATTGAACACTGGCTCATTTGGTAATTTGTTTAAATTTTAGAAGATTACAATCTTTAAAAATAAAAGTCTGCTGAGGTATAATTGACATTTAATAAACCACACATATTTAAGTTGTACAATTTGATGAGTTTTGACATATGCAGATACCTATGAAACCAACACCATAATCAAGACAGTGAGCATATTCATCACCCTCAAAAGTTTTCTTGTTCACTTTTCTAACCCTCCCTCTCCTATTTTGCCTCCTCTGACAGCCACCAATGTGTGTTCTCTTGCTTTAGATTAGTTTACATATTCCTTAGTTTTATGTAAGTAGAATCATACACTATATACTCTTTTGTCAGGCTTCTTTCACTCAGCATAATTGTTTTGAGATTCCTCAGTGTTGCTATTTGTTCATTCTCAAGCAGTTTATTCTGAAAGGTTAAATTCTTAATGAATGACATTTTGCTTAATTATAGGACAATCACAAGCATTTAGATGCATTGTGACTGAGCATAATTTAGAGAAACAAAAATCCAGGCAGTCAGAAGTGATATGTTGGGAGTATTTCCTCATAGCAGGAAGATTTATAGTGTCATTACATCAGCCTTACCATTAAGTGGAGAGGAATAAGTTTCTTGGGAAAGGGCTTCCAAAGACTGGACTCCTCCAAAAATCTTGGCCAGTGGAATAGAGCTAGACAGCACTATCTTCAGAGGTTATCTCAGAAAGGGATGGGACACTGTTCGCACATTGCTCAGATGAGCCAAGTGACAGATTGCTCCACAGGGGGCCTTAAAACCTCCCAAAGTGAGTCATGGAAAGTAACATAATGCAGTGGGCATTTTACTGCCAATCAAGAGATCTGGATTTTAACCCAGAACTGTCACTTACTTATTACATATGTGACTACAGATAAATCAGATTCTCTCTTTGAATCTCTTTTCCTCAACTGCAAATTGAAGGAATCAGACTATATGATCTTGGAAACTTCTATATTCTACACATCTAAGAATGAAATAATAAAGGCCCAGAGGACCAACAGGTGTGGTTATGCCAAGAACTATATAGTCTGAAACAAATCTACATTAGAAACTATGCAAGGTATCAGAGTACAGCTATCCAGCCAGCCATCAATCCACCTAGTAAATGTTGACTAAATACCAAAATGTATAAGACACTATGTGTAAACCTGGAAATTGGAAGATGAATATGTCCTCGCTCCTTTTCTCAAGATGCTCATAGTTTGCTGATGGAAGATAAGCTTATTCATGACTAATTATAACGTGGTTATTTCAGAAGTACTTTCACAACAAAGATGGTGTTTCAGTAAATATATCGATCCTCAGAACCTTGTACAAAATTGGAGGAGAATTCTTTTGTTGTTGTTTTCTGTGGAAATAATTGAATATGAGTATTTTTATGATAAAGGG